TAGCGTCGTCTTAAAACAAATGAAGTTTAAAGGTCAAACTTTCTTAGCACATATAAAATATATTGATTCTCTCTCCTTTTTTTTTATAGAGGCGTGGAGCAATTTCATATGACAGCTCTGATCAAACTGCGTTGTATATTCGTATGCTAGGTAAGCACGGCAATTTCTATTTTACAATGTTCTGCCATATTTTGTGATCTTTGCTTTAAAATGGCTGTATTGTGCTGTAGTTCAACTTACAAATAGTCACCTTTGGATTTATTCTTTGATTTCTCCCCCATGCCCCACTGTATTTTCAGCAGTTAATTTTATATTGCCAACTTCTAAAAATTGTTGTGCTTAAAAGTTGTATTTGAGGTTTGGGCCCACTGTCATGTACAATGTTTTACAGATATATGGGAAACGGTGGTTTCTGTCACAAATGCATTAAGATGCTCAGGCTGTGCCCCCAGTAGCTCTACATTTATGGAAAGAGATTAAATGGGAGAAAGCTTGTGGGTTTGCAAGGGTTTTGTACATCTGTTTAAATTTATTTTATTTTAATGGGTGGCAGGATCATTTCCAGGTTTTGAAACAATTTCATGTGCAATCTGTATTTGTATTATAGCAGTCATGTTGCACCTTATTCATTATGCAGGCTTCTTTTTTTAGCAGAACCTTTTAGCACTTCTGTATGAGCTTGTCATTTTTGTTATAAACACTTGATTATAACAAAATATTTGCATATGAAAATAGTTGTCCTGTATTCGTAGAGTTAAAATCCAGAATCTATTTTGGTAGCTCAAGGTAATTTTGAAATAATGACATAGATCGAAATGGTGTAATTTCCGAAGAAGTAATGTTTTGCACCCTTGTTTGTCCTATTTGTGCTGCCCATAGGATCAGCAGCTTACAGGATATGTTAGGAGCAGGGTGTTGGCTTGAATGTCAGAACCTAGTTGTCCTCTCCTTTTGTCCATCCCTGCGGAAATAATAGAAGAAAATGTTTGAGGAAGAAATGGTGAAGGGATCCCTGGAGCAGTCTCTAGTTTATATATTGTCCTGCAGTGAGCCAGTTGGAGCCTCGTTTTACTCTCCTGTAATTGAGCAGTGGCACTAACTAGGTCTTGGCTGGGTGTGGTCTAATTGTGCACAGGACTGCTTTGTGGGTGGTAGTTGAATAAGGGACACCATTCATTTGAAGAAGAAAGATTAAAAATGGGTGGTAGTAACCATTGGGACAAGGGTTCTAGAATGCAGGGCACAGACAGTAGTGGAAATTTATTGTTTGATGCTTCTCGGTTTGTGTGTTTATGCATTCCAAGGCAAGTTTCTTGAAATTTATACACATGAAATTCATTCTGAGCTCTCTAAAATTAGGGAATGGATCAAAAACAATTTTAGTTTAAAAATCCTCATTTTTGGACTGTCGTGGCTTTTAAACTTGGAAGTAACTGTGGTACTGATGTCTACATACTAAAGATTTAGGTTTCTGAGGTTGGGGAAGTAACTACTTCAGAATGTCGGAGAGAAGAGATGTTAAGATTTTAGGAGGCAGGTGAAATAACTGAATGGCTTGATTTCCAGTTCTGCCAATTTTACAATGGAATGACAGTATTTGGATTTTACAACTGAAATTTTATTCTCATTTGTGCTTTTCTGCAGCATGAATTTTAGTGCTCTGCAGTGTGTGTTATGTCACTTTTGTTTTGCTCTAATAAACAAGTAAATTTAGTGTCTGTAGTGTAAGTTTCCTTATTTTGGGGATTTAGTAATAGTGAATTTTACTTTTTTATTTCTGTGCTTTTAATTAATGTTTCCCAGTTCACTTCCTTTTGTATTATTAAAGTGAAGTTACCTGCTTCAAAGATGAATAGTTTTCATTTTTAATTCCCTCAAATGAGAATAATATGCGTCAAGCTCGTCAAAGTAATTTGAGGTGCTTGGATAAAGGGTTTTATAAATGCAAATCTAAGTTAATGATTAAGCTACACTACTAATAACAGTAGCTCAGCCTACAAATAAATAGAGAGGTATAATAGGTTCTGTTACTTTTAATGGGAAAAATAGGTGATTTATGATTTTTTTTTTTTTCCAGGAAAAAACAAAAAAAAAAAAAAAGTATAAAAAGGTTTTTTTCTTTTAAAGGGAAAAATAGGGGATTTATGATTTTTTTTTTTTTCCAGGAAAAAACAAAAAAAAAAAAAAAGTATAAAAAGGTTTTTTTCTTTTAAAGGGAAAAATAGGTGATTTATGATTTTTTTTTTTTTTTTTTGCTTCTTGCTGGAAAGAAGAATAAATGCACATTATTATTGCTGGATTTTGAATGCATAATTACTTTAGAGAGAATCTTTTGGGGTGATGAACAAGTGCAATATGGGAAAAATAAAGTATGCCTTCTTTCATATTCTACTTGAAAGCAATGTCTCACTTTTGACATCCTTGTCTTTTAAAAGGCAGAAATCTAATAGATTAGACAGGACTCTAAATGTGTTGACTGTTTTTAATTTTTACTATGTGTATAAATGTAACTTACTTGGATGTCTTACTGTGGAAAGAAAAACTCTAACTCACTATTGGATTAAACAGATAATCAAATACAGTGAGTCTTCTAAATAAGTTTTTCACTTTTATTAGCAACAATATTTTTTTCCTAATCTTTGTGGCTGGATAATGTCTTCACTCAAAATGCACACTGTTAGGTCTTCTGGCTAGTGGTTATCTGTGTTCTCAAATGTTTAAGCCTTTGGTTGTACAGGTTTGTAACAAGTTACACATTTCTTTTCACTAGTGTTATCCTATGAACTGATCCTGAGAGAGACCAGTCTGAAAATTCAACAGTAAGATGAATCTTCCTAGAGAACAGTTGTCATAAATTTAGATTCCATCTGTGATTCAAATGAATTATATCTTAGTTTGTGTTTTTAATACATTTGAATAAATAAGGGTAATAAGCTCTTTACAGCAATGTGGGTATTGTTAGGCCAATTGCTTTTGCGCACACTTGCAATGCAGAACACAAATTTTACTGCCACAGGGGTGTAATTTTTATATTGATTTAGGTAAAACTGTTATCTTTGCTTGAATTTCTGATTAGTTCAATGAACCAAGAAGAACATTAAATTATGATGGAATAAGACACCATTTTGGTATGCTAAAATTTAGTCATAAAATTGAGACTGCATGTGACTTTCCCTTAATGGCTTTGTCTGCAATGTAATCATAACTGCTTTCCTTAAAATTTTCAGGCTATTGGAATCCCAGACTTGAATGGAAGTTCAGGTGACTCCAGGTGGATTGAAACTACTGTGCTGTGGCAGTATTTCCAAATCCAACCAAAACATTATCTTGTGTGGATACATAAATGGGAAAGCTGTAACAGTCTTCACTGGTGGCAATGTCTGACGGATTCTTATTGATTTAAGATGATTTCTGCTTTCTCTGCCTCTGCAGTATAGTCGCCCATTTTATCATGCTCATGCGGAAAACACTTCCCTAGCTCAGAGTTGGTAATTTAGGAAATGCCTTGTTCACCTCTTCAAAATATGGACATGGATGCAACATTGTAGAATTCTGCTGAGTTGTTCTTTGAAGTGGTCTGGCTGTATGACCATATTCAGCTGCTTCTGTTTACAACTCTCCTTAGTGTTTCCCTTTGATTGTTCCTGTAAAGCTATGATACTTTCATTTTCTGATGTGCTGCTTTTCCTTTTTTTTTTTTTTTTTTTTTTTGTATTTGGTACTTTTTTCCTGCTGGCCAATGCTGGGGGTTAGAAGTTAATGGTCTGTAGGGTGGCCTGTCCCAGATTATTTGCTTACAGATCTCAGATGGAGTACTGTGCCCTATATCTAAAGAGTCTGTGCAAATTCTGCATGGCCAGCTAGCTAACACTATAGAGAGAGTAAAAATAACAAGCTGCAAAGGCAGAAAACTATAATTTGGAATTTCTTTTTACTCTACTTCCATTTTAAACTGTCTATAGTTTTCTGTGTTCATTTTACATGTTTTTGGTCTTATCTTTCCACAAAGGACTTTCTTGTGGAAACCCTGCACTTCACAACTTCACACTGAATTTCTGCCCTTTTAAATTAGTTCTGCCCTTTTCCTCCCCTTTGTTCTTTCACCGTCCTTCCAGTCCTTCCCAGACAAGTTTCTCCTCTTTGCTGGCCCCTTGATGATCATTTGCTTCAGACTTTTGGCCTTCCAAAAATGCTTTTCATTTATTCCAGGGAAAACTGAATATGCAATATAACAAAAATGTCTGAGAATGCATAACACTCACTTACTCACAAGGGGTGTTTGGAGATGTAACACCCCCCCCCCACACACTTTATTTTAAACTTGGTGCATTCTCATGCCAAACCCTGCACATACTCAGAAGAGGCAGTGTGTTATTTCAGCCAGGCTCACCTGACATCTGTAAAGATCAGGTATTTTAGTGGGGCTTGTTGGTGCTTTTATCTAATAGCTGATTAAAGTAGCTTTAGCTAAAAGTGTCAAAAAGCCCCACTGACGTGCCTGATCTTTACAGAAGCTGCAGAGCCAGGTTGAAGCGATGTGCTGCTGCTTCTGGTAAAATTAAAAAAAAAAAAAAAAGAGAGAGAAAAAGGCTGCAAGCAGCCAAAATCAAAGCCTTCAACCCGAAGGCTTTTTTTCTTCTGGAGAGCGAGAGTTTTCCTCATCTTTGTTTCTGATTCTCTTCGGATTTGCAGAAATATTCCAAGAATTATGATAGATTTATGTTAGAAACCATGAGGATGCCGGATTCAAGAACCTTCTTGGAAGTGCTGGGATCTAAAAAGAAAACCATGAGCCATTTGTTGTAAACTTAAATATCAAAAAGTGTGTTTAAAAAACTGCTTTTCTCATTGAGGGGGCAGCTGCTCCTTAGAAATTCATCCAATAGGTAAATACCATATTTACCTGATTCCAAGATGGCATTGAATTTAAGACCACCCCCCTCCTCCAATAATTAAATTCTATACATGGAAATTTATACATTTGTTATAATTTTCCACATATAGAATCTAGTTATTTAAGGGTCATTTTAAATTTTTTGTCCCTCTTCTCCCCCACCACTGTGTTGGAAAAACAGTGGCAGGGGAACAAGTGGTGGGGCAGGCAGTGGGGAGGGGCGGGGAATGACCTCACCTCTCCCCTTTGTCCCCTG